CAGAAATGAGGGCAACTGCCTACAGACCACTGCTACCGAGGTTTCACCTGAAGCAGCACATCCAGCGCCCGGTGCGTGGGGAAAGCACGCAGCGACGTCAAAAAGCTAACTGGAGAACTGATCATTTCGGATCTGTCTGCCCTCGGTTTTGCAACTCCGCAGGTAGATGGCACTCTAACTAACCTTGTTAAAAAGTCTTCTTTTTGTGTCTTATACGTATCTCCGATGCACACGTAGATCCACTGAGGAATAGTAGTCTTGTTTCCCCGCAGAGGACTAGTAGTCAGTCCAATAATCTTATCTTCTGTCCTATGTAGATATGGTAGATCTTAATAGCCCTATGGATGTGCAGTGTGCAGGGGGTTGTTCTGTCTTGTTTGTTTCTTGAATTTGGTCAGGAAGGATAATTTTGTTTAAGGTTAAAAAACTACTATTAAGCTGTGATATGAAAAGACGAAACTCTTCTAAAAAATTAAATAGGAAACCAGGTTCACCATAGCAAACCTCCAGTTTGCCAAGAAGAACTGAGCAAGTGTATTCAACAAATGGTCCAATAACTGAACTTCTTTCAACTCCTGGAGTATCTGCAAGCAGTTAAGCTCCTCCACTGTATTTTCAATCAGTAAGATTTCTTTCTTTAAAAGCACATTCAATTAGTTTGCTGTTGAAACTGTGTATATTATTTCAGCTGTGATCTATTACGTACAATCACATAATATTGACTTTGCTTCCTGATTCAACACATGCACATTTTTCTGATTGAGTTTGTGTGGGCAACTGAGATATATTTTGTGAGCATTCTTAGAAGACAATGTGAATGGTTTTACTTTCAGAGAATGCAAAAATCAGTCAAACATAATATCCAGCATTACTGAGGGTTTGGGTTTTCTGACAGTGTTTGCTGAAGTTTAATCATGAACATGAAAACACAATCACAAATATAGTTGGTTTTATATACATATACAAATCCAGATTAAGGAAGGTAAAGAGTGAAGTTAAAACTGATCTGGAGGCATGTTCCAGTATTAACCCTTCATAAAATGAAGGTACTTGCAGAACAGATCTTTGCCTTTTCTTAAAAGAACACCTATTTATTCCACCTACTCTTAAGTTAGTTGACTTCAACAGTAGTTGCATTCTGACGGTTTATATTAAGCTAATGCTCAGCTGGTCGCTCTCTCCTTTAGCAAATGTATCCCTGTTTCTGCAGCACGGGTCAGAAATTAAGTTTCTCCATTTTTCCAGGTATTTTTTTTTCTTATGGTCCTAAAGGTCACTGTATTCCACAGTATTTTAATGAACAAGAAGCCAGGGCTTCTGAATTTAACATGAAACAGTAGCAAAGTCTTTGCCAACTCTGCCTTGCCTTTTTTCCTGTTAAAGAGTCACGTTTGAGATTTCAAAGTGAAAGGCACTACCAAGAGTAGTTACAGCCAGGCCTTTGCCGCTTACTTTTGTAACTGCAGATCAAGGTGGATATAAAGACAATTAGATTCTGAAGCCAAAATTCCCAATGGAGCAGTAAATGCAGTAAGTTAAGATTTCTGCATTACTTCTTTTTGTGCAAACGGCAGAGCAGGCAGCCAGCCACACACTTCAGATAGATGAACTTCTAAAGCTGTCTACTTAACTAATTACCGACATCGCAAACATGAGGATGTAACGTGTTTACAGCTTCATCACAGAAATTCAATACTTGCTTGTTAAATATGATCACTTCGGGGCTTTTTCCCCTTCCTCTTTTTCAATTAAGTATTTTCCCAACAAAGGGAAAAACACAAGCTTCTTCAGCATTACAGTCCTGCTCTAAGGCCTGTTTGTGTTTATACTGACGTTATGATTACATAGTCAAATAGAGGAACTGAATTTCCCAGGTGGAATTCTCATCACAGCTCATAGCATCACCTCACTGTTCTCATTTCTGGAGGAAGAAAGCAGCAAGCAGCAAATAAAACGGCCAGCAAGGAAATTAGTCAAGTTAAAACTAAAAATACAGAGATGCTGAAGAAAGTTCACTAGCTCCTCTATTTATGGAAGGATTAAGGAAAGAACTCAAAAGCCATTAAGCTCAAAACCAGATCAAATTTGAATAAATAAGAACACAGTTATTTATATGCACAGATACACACGGAATACTGAATAGGACATTCTTGCCTAAGAACCAGAAATCTGTTCATAAAGTATGCAAAAATAGGCACAATATCAGCTAGGAATAAAGTAACAAAAGGACAGATAGAAGCTACGATACTGAATCTAGAGTTTAAACATTATATACCAGTTCCATGGCCATGGAGCAAGCAGGTAAAACTCACTTGCTTAAAAAGGGCAAAGCAAAATGAGCGAAGAATCAACACTGAAGATGCACCACAGTACAAGCCAGAAAAACTGAAAGGTCTGAGGAAGTCAGACAAGAAAAATACATGAAAAGTTACCAACATTTCAGGAACTAATCCACTGGACGAATAAGGAAAAGGGCAGGGCAAACAGGCCTATGCAATCCAGAAACATGCACATAGCACCTTTCATTCCAGAGAACCTCATAAGTACCTTAGAAATGCAATTAGAAACAGAATTATCCCGTCCATTGCTGATGGTCAGCTCTAGTAATGAAGGGAGGGGGCTGTTTCAGACTTGGGCCTCAGTAACCACCCCACCAGAGCCAGTCAGTTAGTAATAAACTCCTCTACAAGTTTCAAAAGACTTTTAAAGGGAGAAATTTAGCAATAACAGTGAATTAGTATCTGTTCAGAGAATGTGAATCTGTAGTGTTCTCCATAGCTCTTTTTAATCCTACTTAAATGTAAAGTTTCTGAACACCAGCCTCTGATGAAGCGGTGAGTCACCACTGACGCTGTACATGGCAGGTACTGCTATAAAAGCGTTACAAGGGCTAACAGAGCTTTCCTTTGGGACTCACCTGAATACTGACAGAGCAAATCTCACTTCTTATTAAAAAAGAAAAGAAAAAAAAACAACACCAAACCCCACAACCAAGTACCAAAAACAAACAAGGGGGAAGCATGGAGGGGAAGAGAAGGAGACTGGGGAGAAGGTATGAAATTGTAAATTAGAGCATTACAAAAATTCTACAAGATTTATCTTGGACTGCATTCACAGATTAGGAAAAAAAAAAACCCCAAAATTAAAGTCCCTGTTAAACGAAAAAAAAAAGGAAACATGAAAGTATAGAGAATAAACGGTACAGGTGAAAACCCAGCTACCAATCTCCCACAAAACATGTACCAGCAAAGGCTAATTACAGAAATATCTGCTAGCTGCAGGAATAGAAAATATTCACTCTTACGAAAAATCTGATTACAGGCTTTTGTTTTCCTAAAGGTAAAGAGTAAACAGGTCTTAAAATACACCAAAATCCTCACACAATTTGCAGACAAAGTAGTAAGCTTTTAATAACTACTGTAACAGAGAAGAGGTGGACACTGGGTGTACGTATGCACGCACAGCAACTGGAACAAACATAATGCTTCAAACCGTTTAACCACAACATACACAGCTTCTAAAAAAGATCTGATTTGATGTTAAGAACTTTCAGTCACTCATTGAAAGACTAAGCTTTTGAGACTTAGGAAAAGATTAATTTAAGAACTTGATACGAACTCTGTCTTCACACAAACATACCTTTTTCTTTTGACTTCCTGTCTTGTTCTCTCTCTCTGCTTTTGCTTCTGTGCTTGTAGGATTTCCGATCCCGGCTTTTTGATCGTCTCCTGTCCCTACTGCGAGACCTATGTTTTCTTTCTGATCTATCATGACTCCTGCTTCGTCTTCGGTCACGACTCCTTAACATTCAGAGAAAATTTTAGAAATGTGCATGTCAGCTGGTATTTTCTAATTCAGAAGATAAAATAGTAGAACAGTAGCACTTTCTAATACATGGATTATTTGCAGAAGACAAATACTTAAACCAAGCCTTGGCATACTGCATATAAACATTTCTCGGTACATACGACCTGGCTTCATACTGTCTTCTCCATTTACCCAAACACTCAATGACACAACTTAAAAAATATCCACTGCTACGAATAAAAAACCAACTTAAGGAAAAAACAATTGCAAAAAGACTGTTCTTTGTGAGCATGTGTCTACTCAAAGCTTGCTTACAAGATCACTTCCACCACAATGGTGTCACCTACTTCCAAAAATGGAGAAAAGACAGCAAACACACACCAAAAACTTGCTTATCCTTAGAATGAGTAAAGTACGTCTTCATAGAAGCACAAGAACAGTGAAGTTAACAAATCAGCGATGTGACCCAGGCAGATCCCCACAAGGTTTTCACATTTTGGGAAGTTACATGAAAATGCTTACATACGCACACACAGACACACACACGTACCTGCTTCGCCTTCTTTCTCTGCTTCTTGATCTTTTGTGGTCTCGTGAACGGCTGCATCTTCTGTCAGATGTTCTGCTTGAGTGTCTACTCCGTGAACGACTCCTTTTACGCCTCTCTCTATCACGAGCCCTCTCTTTTTCCTTTTCTTCCTCTTCACGTCGTCTCTTCCTTTCCCGCTCTTCTCTTTCCCGTTCCCTCTCTTTCTCTCTCTCTTCTCGTTCTTGTTTCTCTTTTTTTAACCTGTCATCACGGTCAGGTTCTTCTGTTCTTTTTCGTAACTTTTCCTTAAAAAAAAGTTCACAAAAAAAAATTAAGATTAGTCAAGATAAATCATTCAATATTGTGTAAATTACACAATCTGGTAAGGTAGAAACTTAAATTTTATTTCTACACCCCACCCCCCCCCCAAAAAAAAAAAGAAAAACCAGCCCACACAGCCACATAGAAGCACTTTCTAAAATCCCTGAAGTGGAAATCCTTTGTCTTGCAGAACTTTTTTTGCTTGACACGTCCAAAAGAACAGAAGCCATGCTACAGTTCTTTTAAAAGGCCACAAAAACCTCCCACTTAAATTCACATCTTGGCTTACATCTCGTGTAATCACATACAACAAAGAATGTCAGTGCAAGCACAATGCCAAACGTGCAGCACAGGGTTCCATTTTAATATATCATCTTTACTGAGAAAGGCCTCCAAAACTGAAGGAGATGCTTACTTTTAAATCTTCTACAGTAGCTTTTATTTTGGCATAACCCATGTGCTGCTTTCCCATCAAGTGGTCATCTACTCTGGACTGTGCATCTCCTACAATTAAAAAGGCTCCACAAACTTCACAAACTTCCATTTGCTTTTCCTGGGCTGCAAAGCTCTCAATTGTCTGCAGAAGAAAAACAGTTGATTAGCAAAAGAAAAGTTTTATCCAGAAGCAAGAGAAGAAGTTTAGAACTTTATTATTACTGTTGCTGAAAATCCTGTCTGCGTGCTTTGTCTTTGGAGCACTGCACCTACTAGGATGTACAGGGCAAATACAGGCTACACGTGCCTGTATTTGGAAGAGTAATTAGAAAACACAAAAAGCAAATCTTTTTCCTCTCTGCAAAGGATTAGCACATATATAAACCATATCTGCAGCTTCCTCACTCTCTCAGGATTAAAGAAAATAAAAATCAGTTTTCTCTTACGATGATTTCTTTGGCATCAACTGAAAATGCCTGGAGCTGCAGAATAACCATGGAAATCATCTCAAGGAATGAAAAGGCTAGAATATCCATGAAGAAATACAAAAAGGAATGCTGAGTTTCTACTTAAAAGTACAGTGCTAAAATTAATTCACTGTTTCAACAGATGTAGGAGAAATACACTGAAACGCCAACATAAAGCCAAGGGATTAATGCTGTGCAATATTCACAGATCACAGTACGGACACAAACATTACTTGCAACAGTCAAGAACCTTTTTAAAAAATAAAACAAGAATCACAATTTGAGCATATTATTGAACACCAAAATTTGTTTATAAACAAGCTCCTTTTACTGTCAGCCAGACGCCTACCTCCAGCCAGTCCTAACGCAAGGGCTTTCTGTAACACAGCCAGACTGGTAATTCAGGAAAGTAATATTGTGGAGGTTGCAGGCAAAGTTTAACTGAAACCTGCACTAGAGAAAGATGCAAGCGTTTCTCCAGAACTGCTCCGTAAATAGCTTCGTAATTCGTGTGCAGGAAGCCCACTCTCAAGTTGGCAGGCTAAATCACCACACTGGATTAACACACTTACATGTCCCGTTCTTGTCTAATAAATTCTGCACAGGACGTGCACACTTTCGGTTTAAGGACCAGGTTATTCAGAATGTACTGTTGACCAAAATTTGCAGAGAGTATGACAGAACTACAAACATGTTACTTACTGAAGTTGTAGACCTCAGCAACTCTCTCTCTTCCTTTAACTGTTCAACAAGTTTCATCATTCCTTGTGCCTCTTCCACCTTTCCTTCTGAACCTAGTTCTTCAATCTGAAAGACAATAAAAAAAAATCAACTCTAACCAACTCTCAAGTAACAACAGCAAGAGAATTTTGTTACAGGAGTAAAAAACCCTTACCTGTTGTAGAAGTACATCAATTTTGTCAGTTAACACCTGAATCTTCTCTTCATTTTTACCAGTAGGTCCAGCTCCCTGCAAAAAAGTACAGGTGTGTCTTTTTTTAATTTTTTTTTTTTTCAGTTAAAATAGCTTTAACACACAAATATCTGACTTCTCATATTCCAGAAACACTTCAGGAATAACCTTCTACTTCCTCTTCTCCCATGATGACCTACTAGTAGTCTGGTATAACACAAAGAACACTTCTCAATGCAGCTTATTCCACTCTTGCCAAGTGAAGCAAGTCACACTAATTCCTCCTAAATCAACAAAGAAAGTTCAAGGCCTTGGCCCATAAAAGGTAAGACATCTGAATTCAAGGTCCTAAATTTAAACTCTGAAATTGCCATGCATCTTTGCAGGCACTCAACTATGACTTAGAAGTTCAGTGGGCCCCAAAATTTAACATCTGAGCACAAATGCAAAAAGCATCTCACTTCACCCAAAAGGTACTTATTGACAGCGCCCTCTGTAGGCTGACGGAACACACTTACACCCGCTTCCCCCACCACCTCTGCTCGGCTCCACAGCTGATAAGCTCTCTCGACTGGACACTGTCCACAGCTCCTTCAGAAGCAACAGGGCTTTGCCCAGAACAATTAACTGGGGCAGCAAAAAGGAGTGAGGCTTCCTTAGAAGTCAGGAAACATTCAGAGCACGGGCCACAGTCACTGCTCCAAATCCATCAGGGGACAACAAAAAAAAAGAGTGGAGTAAACATGTCAATTTTTGATCCCCATCAGTTTAAGCTCTTCTTTAAGAGCTGCCTAATATGCAGCTTGGAACTGAGAAAAGTCGCAGAGAAGCATTTATTTCTTAAACTTTCATGATTATACCACTGCCTGTGCTGGAGCAGAAAGAGGCTACTGCCCAAGTGTGGCAGCTGACAGGGGGATTTAGCTCCACCAGCTGCTGAAAGACCCATCCTTGACAAGATTAATGTTCCAGGGGAGAAGAGAGACAGGTTCTGAGGAAACAGAGACAGGGAGAACAAAGAGGGCTTC